GGGGGTTGTAACACATCCTGGGGGAGGAGGCCTGGCCAGCCATGGAGGGCTCCAAACCCAGCCCAGATGAGCTGCAGAGCTTCGTGTTCTGCACCCTGGAATGGGGCTGGTGGTGCTGGGAACATCCCAGGGATGGAAATATCAGAGCAGGGATGGGATCAGGAATCAGGGAATGGTTTGGGTTGGGAGGGACCTCAAAACTGATTTATCTCCCACCCCAGCCATGGCAGGGACACCTCCCACTGTCCCAGGCTGCTCCCAGCCCCAATGTCCAGCCTGGCCTTGGGCACTCAAAGGGATCCAGGGGCAGCCACAGCTTCTCTGGGCACCCTGTGCCAGGGCTGCCCACCCTACAGGGAACAATTCCTGCCCAAAATCCCATCCATCCCTGCCCTCTGGCACTGGGAGCCATTCCCTGGCTCCTGTCCCTCCATCCTTTGTCCCCAGTCCCTCTCCAGCTCTCCTGGAGAAAAACCACAAGTRAAGACTCTCAAAACCCACTCCTGTTTGAATCCTGCAACGCTGCCTTTGACAGAAAATAGAAACACAGCCGTGCTGTCAGGAAAAATAGCACAGCTAAAGTCCACTATTGATTGGAGTGGAGTTRCTCAAGATTCTCCTCAGCTTAAGAGAGAGAGGAACGTGGGTTTTGCTAATCAAGCAGAATTAAAGTCACCAGCCAGACCTGACAGCAAAACTTTGCCCACAAACCACTTGTGAAATCACATCTCTGAGCTGTACTGCACGTCTGGCCAACACTAAAAACACGCAGAAGTTGTTTTGTTTAAGTTTTGGCAACACCGCTTCCAATAAAAAGTTTTCTTAGCTTGATGCTGCATAAACAATCCATAGCATCTCCTCAAGAAACTATGAAAAACCCTAGCCCAGTTTATTTTTAATAAAAGGAGGACTATGCTATATAATAACTCTTCCTGCCACATCCATTGAATCTGCCGAAATAAAGATTGATGCCTGGATATTTGTACAGACTTCTACCAGAGAAGGCAATATTTCTTTTTTCCTTTCTTTCCTGTTTTTTTTTTTAAATATACTTCCCTGTTATTTTGAAGTCATTTGGAGTAACAAGYATCATCTCCCTATTACCCAGGCATCTGCATGTTCTGTTTCCAAGACAAGTGGCAGGAAACTCAATGAGATTTGTGAGAGCTCCGTGCCACAAGTTAAAAAGATATCCAGAAATGAAAGGTTTTGAAAGAGAAACAAATGTGAGAGTGATCTTGTTCTGGTGACTGCTCCACAAACAGGCTCTCACTTTGCTCATCAGTAGGAAAAGCAAAGCTGTCAGCACTGGAGGGGTTAAAGGCTGAAATTTGGGGGTGGGTTTGAACAAGCATCACTCTGAAGAACCAGGAACTAAGAAAACTGGCAACTTCTTCACTCCATAAGGCTCTCTGGCTCGTCCAGGTTTTATCCTGCACCATTTTGAACAGAAAATCTCTGTGGCTGCACCATCATTTCAAGGAGGAAGGGAAGGAGGAAGAGTGAAGCCTCTTCCAAACCACAATGCCAACAATCCTGTGCTCACCCACGTCCCATCAATGCTCCAGGAAAACCAGGAATCCACTCAGAGCAGCAGAGCAGCCACACCCCCACCTCCTTCAGTGGGTTTTTACTGCACCCCTGAGCTCCACTCAGTTCCTCAGCCCTGGTGGATGCTCACTGGAAAAGAGGAGTGGCACTCTCCCAAATGCCTCCCACTTGTGGCATCAAAGTGAGCTATCACTCCCAGTAAATTTTACGGGATGAGGAATGAAACAGTTAGCAAAGTTGACATTTAAACCATCACCACTGGCGATGATTGAAGACCTCAGAGATGAGCAGAGTGCTCCACACCTCTCCAAGTTATTGTTCTTGGCTCTTGTCAGGCTCCCTGTGCTGCTGTGCCCGTGCCTGGGTATGAACATGAGACTTTCCTTCCATCTCTGAGAGCTGGGAACCTGCTCGAACCAAGATCCTGGACAATCCCAAAACTGGACAATCCCAAAACACCCTGAGAGCATGACAGAGGCAGAGATGGATTAGAACCCTGGCAAACACCTTGAACTGCAGAATCACACAAAAAGGTTTAGATCACTAACACAGGAAGGGCCAAACTGGCTCCTTGTTCCTCCTTCTCTCCTCTCTGTTGGGAAGATGGATGGAAATGAAACCCTAAAAGAAACTGCAAATAACSTGCAGGGAGCACAGGGGGCAGATGGGATCCCACTGCTGCTGCAGGAGCATGAAAAAAGGCTGGGTGTGTTCCTACAGCACCAGGGAAATTCAGGTTTGGGCACTCAAACAACACCACAGCACTCCAGGCTGCCCAAATTCCTTCCYAAACCTGCAGGAACCACCCAACTCTGCAGCCTCCCAAATATCATATACTATATATATAATATTATATATTATATACTATATGTTATATAGTATATACTATATATTATATACTATATATACTATATATTATCTCCTATATATTATCTCCTATATATTATCTATTATCATCTATTATGTATTATATATTTTATATAATATATTATATATTATGTGTTATGTGTTACATATATTTAATATATGTTATATATTATACACTATTATTATATGCTATATATAATAACTGTTACATATGTATATATTATATTCATATACAACTTATATATTCTTTGGGTTTTTTTTTTTTTAAATATGAAGCTGAAGTTCTTAGAAACATAAATTATTCCAGATGAAGATGTCAAACCTTCAGGGACCTGTTTGGATCAGGGCATCCTGATCCCAGAATCCCAAACTTTGGGATCCTTAAAGCCCATCCAACCCCACCCTGTGCYCYTYCCACYATCCCARGCTGCTCCAAGCCCCTTCAYTCCCAGGAATCATCCCARGAATCATTCCCATCACAGATTTCAGAGCCTGGATAAAGATTCCTCCTCTCCAAACAGAACCCACCCCCTGTGCCATGTTTGGACTTTCAAACCCCGGGTTATCACAATCCCTTTCATCTCATTAACAGATCCCCTCCTTTCAAGCACGCTGGAGCTGGTTTTTCCTTTGCTGCCTCTCTTTTAGGCTCGGTTTCAGGCGGTGCTGTGAAGTTTTAAGGGGAGCCATCAGTGAGGAGCTGTAATCTCAGGTGATTAATTGCGCAGCGTTTTACAAGCTGTAAAACAGAGCGCGATCCCCACAAAGCCATTATGCCATTAACCAGCGCCTCTTATCAGATTGCTCTCCAACTACCAGCTTTGCCTGACAGATTGCAAGTCTTAAGTATTTATATATTTCAAAGGTTTACTTATTTTTGTTGTTAAAAACCCCTAAAATCTCTATTGATTGTTACATACGAAGTCTCAAGCAATGTGGAGCAGAATACCAATATTTATTACCAGACTCGTGCTCATTATGGTTCTCCCTGACAGGGGTCCATTAAAATCAATTTTTATGTTTCTTATTTTTTTTTTTTTCCCACCCAATGTTCTTGCCATGGCATTTATTAGCCAGTCAGGAGAAACACCAGGCACTGCTTTGTTTTTATTTTAGTCTGTCGAAAATAATGAGGCCAGATTTAACAACTATTCACTAGTGATGAGGAGAAGAGATTAAATGTTATAYTCCAGCACAAACATTTACACATGGCTTTAAAATTTTTAGAACTTTATCAGGGTTAAAGACAAAAGGAAGTCSCACCTTTCTTCCTCAGATTTAAATTCTGAAAGCAATCATAAAAATACTCTTCTTGCCTTTCAYTTCTGAGTCATTCCTGAGTGACAGAGCCTCGAATGGAACAATGGAATAGWGCACTAAAGTTGGCAAAACTGTAAAATTCAGAGGCTTGGGAAATTTTAATATGGGAGGCAAAACCATCTTCCAAACACAACACACATTATGTTTCAAATTCCTGATTGATTTCACACCCATCCCAGTTACAAGGAGAATAAAACAGGAAAACAGAAATTCTACAAATCCATGGGGAATTTCAGGATTGGAAAAAGACAAATCTGAGAGAAGGAAGCCAAACCTGTTTGAGTCTTGTCAGTAACAGCATTGATGTAACATTCTGTGGAAAAGTGGAGTTTAATAACTAAACCCAGCTGAGAAAACAGTCCTAAAGAAATCTGAGATAGTCTAAGAAGTCTTGATTTTGGCAAAGGAATTTGGCCTAGAAATGCAGCATCTAATTCTGAATGAATTCAATGTTCCTTCTAAAAATGTCACTGAGCATTTCCTCACAAATAAAGAAAAATCAGAGATCTGAGCAGGACAGATGGGCTCCAGCAGACTGAACACAACAAACAGGAAAATGCACTGGTGCCTCCTCAACCTGCATGGGAGACAGGATCTCCACTGCCATGGGGAAAATGCTCTGAACTCCTCAAGAACTTTGCTGGAAAAACAATTGCAGCTCTCACAGGTACTACAGAGTAATTAGAACAATCACTCAGTCCTGGTTCTACCTGCTGGAACTTAGATTTAAAAAAAAAAAAACAAAGAAAAAACCGAACTACACAAAAAAAAAACCACTAAAAGAAAAAACAAAACAAAACCAAAAAACCAAACCAAACCAAACCAAACCAAAACAAAAACAATACAAATAAACCCAAAAAAACCAAAAAAAGACCCAAAAAATCCCACCCCCAAAAAACTAAAAAGAACACAAACAAACAAAAAAAAAAACTCCCCAAAAAAAAACCCAAGAGGCCAAAACCAACCTGCAAGATTTGTGACGTACACAAGATTTTACCCCTCAATGTGTCAAAAATTAGGGAGGCAGGAGGTTCTCTCAAAACTTACATAAAGAGTTAAAAAGTTTAAAATGTTTCTTTGAGAATATTTTGGATGCAGCGGAGGAATTGATGCATTTTGGAGTCCTGAGGAGGCTCCTCCTGCCCCTCTTGGGAGTGAACACAGAGCTCCCAGTTGGACTGGGGAACCAAGAGAGTTCTGGGATGTTCTGAATGTCCTTCCCAGYACAAARGGAGCTGAAGGTGGGCAGGAMAGGGACTCACCCGCTGGGCAGGGCRCTCATTTGRGGCAGTTTGATCTCGTGGACRCCTCTGTCACAGCCCCAGATCTCGATCTTCCCCACGGGGCTGAGCAGAACCACGCGATGCTCCCGGCACGGGGATCCAACCCGCTTGGAGTTCACCTGCCACAAAGAGAAAATCCGCTTGAACTGCACCAATTCTCACCAAAATACACATCTGAGGCGTTTGCAAAAGCAATTTGAAAATTGGGGTGGCACTGGTCCCTTCTAACCCAAACCATTTGTGATTTATGAAAAATTTGAACCATTTGGATCAGCTCTTGCACAACCTCCACCTTCACTCTCCCCTTCCACTTGAACACCTACATATGTGTGCCAAAATATCTTATAATTCTGCCATTAGGAAAAAAAAAATAGGTATTTTAGAAAGGAAAAGTCTCCTGCCATCCTCTAGAATTTTCCCAAAGAAATAAAATTGTAGGTRCAGTATTTGTAAATCTCACCAGGCTGCTAAATACAGAAAACGGRAAGACTGTTGTTTCCAAAGCAATTTGAAAACAGCAAGAAAAAAGCAAATTTCGAGTTTCCTCAACTGTGGCTTTCACTTKCAAAATTCTAACTTTAAATGGTTCATCTTTAGAAGTCAGCACCTAAATCAAAGTCTCAAAAAAAAAAAAAAATAACCAGCAGCACAGTGATCTTCATAAAAATCTGAAACAGCAGCAGTTTTGTGCGTGGTTTATCAGCTAAAACTAAATGTGTCCTGACACTTATTTAAAACAGGATTGTTGTGACAACAAAGTACATTCAGTGGTTTAGAGCAGMAGTGTTATGCAAATAACAGCTGGAACACAAATAGAAAATGTCTGCTGGAAAAGAAAACATATGAAAAAAATCCATCATTCCTTAGGAAAAAGCAGCATATTTTTATTCCCATTGTTACCAGTCTGGTTTTACGATTACTGATAGGATGTAGCTGGGAACAGCTGCCAAGGATTTCTCAATACTGGACAAGAGCAACAATAACAGACTTGTCAAATCCATCCTGGCTGAAAAAAACCCAYCCCAGGCTTGAGTTGTGTTTATGGTTTGGTTTGTCCATGGCTGCAGGGCAGGAACAACACCACAAGGGTTGTGGGACACCAAAGCTCTGCTCCAGAGCACTGCCAGGGCAACAAATCCTCTGCCCAAAGAGCTCAGCTCATGGGAAAGTGGGAAAAATCCTCTGCTAAAGAGCTCAACTTGTGGGAAAGGGGGAAAAATCCTCTGCCCAAAGAACTCAACTTGTGGGAAAGGGGGAAAAATCCTCTGCCCAAAGAACTCAACTTGTGGGAAAGGGGGAAAAATCCTCTGCCCAAAGAGTTTAACTCATGAGAAACTGGGAAAAATCCTCTGCCCAAAGAGCTCAGCTCATGGGAAAGTGCGAAAAATCCTCTGCCCAAAAAGCTCAACTCATTGAAAAGTGGGAAAAATCCTCTGCCCAAAGAGCTCAAATTGTGGGAAAGGGGGAAAAATCCTCTGCCCAAAGAGTTTAACTCATGAGAAACTGGGAAAAATCCTCTGCCCAAAGAACTCAACTAATGGGAAAGGGGAAAAAATCCTCGGCTAAAGAGCTCAACTTGTGGGAAAGGAGGAAAAATCCTCTGCCCAAAGAGTTYAACTCATGAAWAACTGGGAAAAATCCTCTGCCCAAAAAGCTCAGCTCATGGTAAAGTGGGAAAAATCCTCTGCCCAAAGAACTCAACTAATGGGAAACCRGGAAAAAATCTGCCYAAAGAGTTTAACTCATGAGAAAYTGGGAAAAATCCTCTKCYKAAAGAGYTCAACTCATGAGAAACTGGGAAAAAAAGGGAACAAGAACTTGTTGGGAGGCAGCAAAAAGCAACTCCAGCAGCAAAGCACAACTACATCCTAGCAATCCTACAACTGTTTAGGATGGAAGGGACCTTAAAGCTCATTTATTCCCACACCTCCCACTGTCCCAGGCTGCTCCCAGCCCCAATGTCCAGCCTGGCCTTGGGCACTCAAAGGGATCCAGGGGCAGCCACAGCTTCTCTGGGAATTCCATCCCAGCCCCTCCCCACCCTCCCAGGCAACAATTTATTCCCAAAATCCCAACCACCTCTGCCCTATGGCAGTTTGAAGCCATTCCCTGGGTCCTGTCCCTCCAGGTGAGGACTTTGACCTTGATCTGTTGAAGCTCATGGGGTTTCCTGCAACACTCAGAGCTCAACAAGGTGTCCTGGATTTATTTTTATTTCTCTGTGTCCAGAGTCAGCCTGGATGGGGCTTGGAGCACCCTGGGACAGTGGAAGGTGTCCCTGTCCTCTGGGTGGGCTTTAAGGTCCCTTCCTACTGAAAACATTTGTGATTTATGAAAAATTGGAACAATTTGGATCAGCTCTTGCACAACCTCCATCTTCATTCTCCCTTCCACTTGAACACCTACAAATCTGTACCAACATATCTTGTAATTTTGCCATTAGGTAGAAAAAATTGGAACTTTTAGAGAGGAAAAATCTTCTGCTACACTCTGGAGTTTTCCCAAAGAAATAAAATTGTAGGTGCAGTATTTGTAAATYTGCCTCACCAGACTACAGAAAASWGGAAGATTGTAAATTTATTTAAATTTGCATTAACCGTGTTTCACAGTAAAGAATTCAAATATTTCTATGTTCTACTGCTTCTAACAGCCCTGAAATTCCACTGGACATTGGCCTGACACCCTAGAATCCAATTCACATCCACAATGGGAAACAGAGAAATAAAAAATGCAGAGAAATCTCGAGGATAAACAAGAATTTTTTTTTTTAAATAAAATCTATAGCAAAGCATTTCCATGCTCCATGTTCTCCCAGAAAACAAGGAGTGTTTTCCAGAAAAGTCCAGAGAGCAAACCACGTTTTTCCTTTCAGAATTATGGAGCCCTGAATCCTTCCCATCAGAGCCCTATCTGGGATGGATCTCCCTCCACAGCTTTTTCCATTTCCTTTAACAATACAAACCCACCACACCATATCAAAAATATTAACAATAATCCCCTCTGCATCTGATTTAACGGGGGATTTCCATTAGGCTACGGCATGGAAGTCCTCAGGAATTTTTTTTTTTCTCCCCTGAAATATTTCTGAGAATGGAGGCAAAAAATAACATATTCAGCTTGCAAATGGAATGTGCCCTCACACATCCTGCAATTGGATTTTTTTTAAATCAAGGGAGTCCTGCATTAATCAGGGAGATGGCCCAGTTCCTCCAAGAAAGGGGTCTCTTSATCCTTTCCAGATTAACAGAAAGAGTTAATTGAGCTCAAATACAACCAGCAGCAGGAAATTGCATTACAATTCCTGCCCCTATTTCCCTTGCCTTCCCTCAGACCCCAAAATGGTCCTRTTTCCACCAWTTCCACCATTTCCAGCCAAGCCACTGCTGCCCATTTGGAAGGGCTGGATTTTGCTCTTTCCCAGCACAGAAATCACTCCTGCAGATCCCACCCCAAAGCCACAGGAGATTTTCCA